GAAGGGGGCCATCACCGAGTGGCGCCAAAGTCATGAGCGACCAACAGGCCCACAAGGAGTTGGCCAAACTGGAGACCCAGAAGCGAAAGATTGACCGCGAGCAGACTCCGCCTGCTCGCGGTCAATCTTTCGCTTCTGGGTCTCCAGTTTGGCCAACTCCTTGTGGGCCTGTTGGTCGATCATGACTTTGCGGCGCCACTCGGTGATTGCCCCCTTCTCCGTCATTTCCTCAGTTACTGTTTCTTACTTTACTGCAAGAGCTTCGAAAGAGCCAGTTGCACCGTGGCACCGTGGTCGACGAACCGCCGGAGTCTTCATCCTCCTCCGCAACGAATGCTCCCGAAGACGGTGATGGGGTTTGACACGAAGCTCACATTAGCCTGGGCCCTTTCTTCACTGAAGTCACTAGGCATGGAGCACCACAAAGGTCGTGTTGGTTGTCTTGAGACATCAAGAGCTTCATCGATGTTTTGTTCCCCCGTCACGAAAATGAAAGACCAGGATGGGGAGGTTTGCAGGAGTCGGAGTCGTGCTGCGTTCCCTTGAACTGAATGGAGGCCTCTGTCCTTCGCCGTCGGTGCAGCGGGCGCTGACGGTGCAAGGATCCCAGCAGGGCCGGGCTCGGGGCTGAGATACAGTTTTGCTTTTGGGGGCCTTCAGGGGGGTTGGAGATATAGAAGTGCATGTGCAGAGACCGTGAACAAGAGTTCCAGTTGGATCTGAGACTTGCGTCCTTTTTGCCGGCCACTGAGGCCATGATTACCGGCAGAAAACAGGTCGAAAACCGCAGCTGGCGCATACCCGCTGGCTGGTGGCTCGGCCGAAGCAAATACACCCGTCAGCGTGTTTTCGCAACGATCTGACTCCCGGCACCTATTGGGGTCCAGTACCCCAATATCAGTAATTCGATTGCAACAAAGACAATGTACGTTATTAGTAACCGCCGGATATTGATAGCAACACTCACAGAAACAGTATAGTGGTAATGGTAATCAGATTCCCAATCTCCGGCTTGTTGGTTCACAGTCCTCAACAGGTATGCCTTGCACGTCGGCGCGCGGCCCCTTGCTGCGCTGGGCGACGAGTGGGTGAAAAGGTGCGGACGCGGCCCGGTGTTGTCCTACAAGTAGATATTTGCTTGCGTGGCCATGCTGAACCCATTGTCAGCCCCAAACCCATTCTGGACTAGACTGTATCTGGTCGTATATCTTAAATTTAACTAGTGCTGTTTTCGTCGGTTGATGTAGAAAAAACATCCGTGGGTCGTTTGATGAGAGCCAGGCTCGAGGGGTCCTGGCCCGATGCGCCGGCGGAAGGGAGCCTGCCGTCTGCGTGCATAGGCGATCCGAGGAAGCAACACCCGGAGAACAGTGCAGGGTCAGAATTTGAATAGAATTGTTGTAATGAGTGTGACGATAAAGTGGTGATGGTAGCAATAACGGTGCATCTATAGCAACAGTGGCAGTGGGAGCCAGGATATTCAGACATGTAGTGCGTGTATGTGCAATATAGTATGTAATGCAATACCGCGTAAATTCAGTCAGTATACATGCAACAAGCGGTGATACAGTATAACCAGAAATAACCAGTTCACGGCATGATCTTGTATGACGTCGAAATTGGCTTGAGGCCCAGACTCGGTCCATCCGCTTGAGGGTACCAGATCAATCAACTGCTCGCAATCGGTTGCACCTGGCTCATTGGAGAACAGCCGGGTCACAAAAAAGACGCCAAAACCTAGCACGATACGGTGCAGCACGCTACCTTATGGGATAGCATAGTAGTGCATAGGATTATTGCAAGTGCGGCTCTCTTACCTGGCAGTTGGCCTCATCCACATCTCCGAACATCGGCCAGGAGCTCGGAAATCCATAGCAGATGTCAAAGAAAATGATCAAAATTGTATTACATTCTAACAATAATACTGATGACAAGAATAGTAGTAAATATAATAGTACTCATAGTAATCGTAATAATCATAATAGTAGTAGTAATAGTGAAGTTCTCTCTCCCCGAACATCCCGAATCCCTGAAGACCCACCCTACTAAGGCGGCCGGAGCACTGCGGCGGCGGCCAGTCACTGTGGGCTGTAGGGCCGATCTGCCACATCATCGATGAGGCTTTGGGATAGAGACAGGTAGAGACAGTGAAAGCAAGGCTCGGTGAGCCTTCGCGCTCTGATGCCCGTCCTTTCGCTTCCGCTCGCCTCTGCGCTGAGGTAGAGCGGGCCGGAGGCCAGCAAGATAAAGCCGTTGAAAGACAGTACAGAGCACAGCAGGCATAGAAACCCGGAAATGCCAGACAAATCTATGGCAGTGGCCTAGCGTGGCGGCTGTTCATCAGGCTACAGCCATCTACGGCCGATACTCACGTAGAAGCACGCCTATAGTCGTGCTGCCATGGTGCTTGAAGACTGGCATGAAGCGGCTTTCGTGGCAGCTGCGACCGTGTTCGAACTGGCCTTGTTTACGCAGCTGACGATGCTTTTGCTGTACAGGAAGAAGGCAGTGAAAGAGTGGCTCAGGAGCCGCCTCAGCTTTCTCAAATATGCACTGCTTCCTCTGTGCTCAGGGAAGGAGGAGGCACTGGTGAGGGAGTCCACCTACCTTCACATGCGGATTGCCCGAGGAGTCATCACCTATCTGGCGGTTGTAGCGCTTTTTGGGCTCATTCTGGGACAGGCGACTGCGCTCATGGGGCAGCCTTTCTGGCTGTCAATTCCACAGCTTTGGAACATTTTGGCGTCTGGTCTTCTCGGCCTCACCTGTCTGGTTTTTCCGTCCATCCTCCGACCTTCCACAACCGACGTCCTCTACATTGCTTTCAACGCCATTCCACTCGTGGCACTCTTTCCTTCACACTGTTTGCCCCAGGACCTCTTCATGAGCTGGTTCGTGATATTTATCCTCATCCGCTTGCCTTCCATCCCTTTGGCTTCTTGTGGCCTCACGGTCCTCTTCGCGGACGCTTCCTTCCTCGCGCTGACGGCTCTGCGTAGACGCTACGATCATTTCGAGGTCGTGGACAGTCTTGGCCTGAGCACTCGCGATCCCACCCTGTTAGTCCGCGTGGACATGTATGCGACGGTCTCAACCTTGGCCTTCAGCTTCATCTTCCTTGCACCTTTGATTTTGTGATGCTTCATCCTATCGGGGCACATAGGTCAGGTAGGTGTTGAATAGGTATTTTCGTTTGCCTCAAAATGTTGGCACCTGTCCAGAAAGCTGTACGGTTTCCGGGGGCTCGAGGCTACACCGTTCACTCTCAAAACTTGGAAGCATGCCAGGCATCGATGAAAATGAAAGCAGAGCTGATCGCGGGCACCAACAACCTGTCCTCGCAGCTGAGTGCTGCCTCGTCACTGCTTCGGCTGACCTGTGATGCAGTTGTCGAGCTGGACAGCGAGTTGAGGTTCACGGATCATTCACCGGAGCTGTCCGCGATGCTTCTTCATGATCGACCGGGCACGACCCTGAAGGCAAAGTGCTTTACTGACTTTATGCAGCCCGTGGATGCAGGCAGAGCCATGGAGATTCTGGGTGCCAGCAGCAACCGGTCTGCATTCTCCACGCAGGAGATCACGGCACACGCCTTTCACACACGTCTCGTGGACAGCTGCTCCTCCAAGCTCTGCGCCGAAGTCTTCCAGGTGAAGTATTCGAAGCTGGATGGGAAGTCCTACCATCTGCTGGGTATTCGCGACTTCACCGACATCAAATCTTTGGCCGGAACCAATGCTGTGGACGCCTTCACCGAGAGCCAGGAAGACAGAGCATGTCCGTACCAGAAGTGTGCACAGCAGCAACGACGTTGATGATAATGATAAAGTATTTGAGGATGAGATCATCATCATCATCATCATCATCGATTTTGCTCGATTGAGGGCTGGTGTAAGTGTATTGATCCGGCTTGTCGTCCGTCCTACGGAAACGCTTCCTCCCCTGTAGGCCCCGTCAAGCAAAGATATGATGGTGATGTGTGAGAAAAACGGCCCCCAAATCCGAGCTGTAGCCTCGTAGACGTCTTTCCTGCGCTCACCCGATACCGAGGTGGGACCCCACAACCCTTGTGAAGAACCTGCTAGGTCCTTGTACAGGGAGAGCAGTTGTCAGCTGCTCACCTTTCTCTTGCTACGGGCCGCTTTGCTCAAGGGAGGGATCTAGAGCCAAATCGCAGCGCTCATGCAAAACAGCT